TAAGCAACATCGTCATGGGGAAATGCAAGTCTGCGTCCAAATGGTTGGAAGATAAGGAGGAAGAACAATCAATACTGTATATAGTCAATGTGAGGTAAAGTGTGTCGCCAATGTAAACGGATAAAACTCAAAGTGACGATGAGGTCTTAAAATGTATGGAAAGGGTCTTAAAAAAGGTCTTGAAAGTAATTACATTTGACTTCAGGATTCCTGCATATACCCTATAATATAAAGACTGTCCTACTAATAATCTAAAAAACTGGACAGCAAAACAATTACTGATTGCAATAAAGTGGCTTTTGGTGAAATGCCTGCCATAAATATTATCAAATTGTTGTTTGATTTAAAGGAAACTTGAATGAATTTCCCAATATCCAAGTTATAGCATTTGCACATTTTGTTTTAATGTAAAATGCGTTCAAACTTAGCCAGTTGTACGTCCTCCTAAATAGAAACCTTGTATTTGTCACTCTTCCTGCTTTTCAACCTATCCGGTAAGAGTTGACCATATGGACACAGAAGGTGCCAACTTTTGTTTATATAATGCGAAGCTAATCATATAATGGTCTCCTGCTGCAGGGTAAGGACGAGATGCTGACCAGCATCCCGTTCGCACGGCCCCAGGACGCGGGGCCATCTGTTGCCATAGTGACCAAAGTGAACCGCATCCAGGACCAGCTGGTGAAGAAGCACGATGTTGAACTGCACATGCACGTCAACCGGCTAGAGATCGCCCCGCAGATCTACGGCATGTCAGTATCTAGAGTTCAGATCGTTTGATACTTTGACCCTCAGATGGACACAAATACATTACCCTGTCTCTGTCTCTCTCTCTCTCTCTGTCTGTCTCTCTCTGTCTCTCTGTCTGTCTGTCTCTGTCTGTCTCTCTCTGTAGAGACAGAGAGAGACAGACAGAGACAGACAGACAGAGAGACAGAGAGAGACAGACAGAGAGAGAGAGAGAGACAGAGACAGGGTAATGTATTTGTGTCCATCTNAAGAAGATCGCAGGAAATGACGACAGAACATCTAAAAAAGACATCTCACACCGTGTCAGATTTTGGTTTTTTTGGGGAGGTGGAGATAAATCATATTGTTTGGTGGATGCAGTTTGAACCAGAGTAGCAGCATGGAGGTCGGATCCAAAATAAATAAATAAGTGGTCCGAAAAAAGTTAATGACAAAATACACATAACCTTCCTCAGGAAGTGTCAGTGTGTTTGTGCCGGGGACATGAGACCCCCCCCCCATGATGAGAAACTGTAAGTGGAGTCAATTCATGTTTATTTTTTTATTTGGTGGTTTGTTTTCCGGCTGTCAATCAGCTGTGCGCAGCGTCTCCACTGCAGCCTGTGCGTCTCAACCCCCCCGCAGCAACTCTATCCACCACTTAAATGAAATAAAACTAATGTTTTATTTCATTTTCATTCAAATGAGTGTAATATCAGCTGCCAAATATATGGTGTTCTTAGTTTCCATACCTCCTGTGTTTTATGAGCGACTTATCAAGTCTTAGCAAACGGCATAAAACACGATTAAACGTGATAGTATATAAAACCATGCTTGTATCTACAACCTATAGAAATACAAAACGGCGTCAGTTTAGACGTAATTCTGTCCTTCTGCATACCGCATCATTTATGAGAATACATGTCATAACATTAAGACAACATATTCGAGGTGGTTTTAAATAATGTATCCGTATATATTTATTTCTCCAAGTTATGTTTCTGTGTGCACTGAGGAGTCTAAAACAGGCGTTTGTTTAATCATTTTAAGATTAGCTTCAATCAATGTTTGCAAATGAACTCTTCATATATGATACATGAGAGGTAACATTTTATTTATGGTATTATTTCCACAAATTTCTCACAAATAAATCACAAAGATTGCTTAGAAACATCTTTTGAGCGTACGCACCGTTTATAAATGAGGCCCCTGACCATGTTTTGGGACACATTTATACATAAAAGCAGGTTATTCAAAAGTATTCCCTTAATTGTTCTTGCCACCGTATATACAAGTCTAGATTTTCATTGTTGATCTGTAGAAATCTTTGGCTTTATTGTCTCTTAAGTGAAATGTGTCTAAACTCTGCCCGTGTACCTGAAAATTCCAACTGGATGACCCCACTTTCGTTCAGAGAGCCCCCCCTCCTGTCCTGGTGGAAGAGCGTGACTCCGCCTTTCTCCAGTAAGAACTCCAGCCGTGCAAACAGGTGATCTCTCCTTGTGAACGTGTTCAGAGTGTGAGAGTCCTCCAACGGGTCGAACAGGTCTTCTGTCTCTGCTGGAGAATCATTATATGATCAGGGTCAGCGGACAGAACCACTAATGATAAAAAACACAAACACCGACTCTTCATACACAAGTCTAAGCCTAATGGAACCGGAGATACAAAGCTAGTCAAATCAACCCTGTGGTTGAACTTCCTCTAGATCTTATGGAAAGACTGAAGAAGGCGCTACATGCTGTCAGCTGGTCAGACATCCGACAGGGGGAGTCTCACCCAGAATGTCCCAGGAGGACGGACTGGGCTGGAGGTCCTCAGGCCTCTCTGGGTCCTGGGGCTCTCCATACCAGCCTCCCCAGCCTGGGAACCATGACTGCAGGTACTGGATCATTCCTGAGCTCCCACTCTTGGGGATGGATGTGGGGGGTTCACAGAGTGTGGGGTCACTGCTGGGCTCGCGCACATTCTGGAAGAGAATACAGCAGGCTGAAACTAGAACATCACCATATTTAGGGCATCTGAGAGAGACTGTTGGTTGATTGCTGTGTGTGTCCAGAGACTCATTGCTCACTTGGCTTCCACGATTAGATTTTCTTTGTAAAAACTATAAATAATACAGTTTAGGATATATTTTCCTTATTCAAAAATGTAATTGTATCTTCATAAAAGAATCAGAGAAAATACTATTCTATACTGTGTGCCTGTTATATGAAGTCAACCATTTGTTTACAACCTAACACTGTGTATTTATTTATACAAAACTATTGATTCAGAATCTTTTCACAAGAATGTTAAGGTGTGTGTAATATAGCAGCACACAGAGAGAGCCAACCCTGCCTCCCTCTGAGCACGAGCTTCTATAGTTGTCCTCTGGGAAGTTCACTGACAGAGTAACAAGAGTATAAACTAGCCAGAAGGGGATTTGTCTTACTAAAAAAAAAAAGCCCCTGAAGACCCTTAAAGGGTTTGAATTTGTTATGTTTGTTATACAGTAATAAACAAGTGTAAGAATGATCTAAACCTACCTCTGCGATTTCTTCCTGCTTTCGAAACCAGTCATGAACTATTTCTCGGAGACTCTGCAGCTCCTCTAGTGTCTGCTCCTCTTCCACTCGCTGCAGCTCGCTCTTCAGGTGAACACAAACAGTGCATAGGAACAAATTATTTGTTCCAAATGACATAATCATTTTAAAATACTTGATTGGTTGTGCATCACAGGATGTGAAAAAAAACTAAAACAAATTTGAATGTGTGCCTATTTATAGACTCCCGTCCAAAACTATTAGAACAGCAAGACTAATTCCTTTATTTGTGCTATACACTGAAAACAATAAAACAATTGGGTTTGACATCAAAAGACGAATATGAGACAAATGGTCAGTATTTCAGCTTTTCATTCCAAGTATTTACATCTAGATCTGATAAACAACTGAGAAGATAGCACCCTTTGTTTAAACCCACCCATTTTCCAAGTGAGCAAAAGTATAGGAACATGTGACTGAGGAGTGTCCTGTTACTTTGATTATTCAAACAATAAATAGCACTGCATGTCTACTCTCAGTTTGAGCTTTTGCCTGTGCAGACTTCATTTAGAGTTAAAACGGTGTAACCAACATGAAGACCAGAGAGCTGCCTATGGGAGAAAATGCTTCCGGTGCTTTGCTCAAGGGCACCACGGCAGGGCCCAGGAGGTGAACTGGGACCTCTCCAAGCACCAGGCCACACTCCATATTTAGGTCTGTTCGGGGACTTGAACCAGCGACCCTACGGCTTGGACGGATCTGCTCATGATTCCAACACACAAGCTCATCTGTGAAACATGGTGGAGGTGATGTCATGGCTTGGGCTTGCATGGCTTCTTCTGGACGGGCTCATTGATCTTCGTTGATGATGTAACACGTGATGGCAGCAGCATAATGAACTCAGCAGTCTACAGAGACATTTTGTCTGCACATTTAAAGAGAGATGCAACCAAACTGATCGGGAGATCCTTCATCATGCAGCAAGACAACGACCAAAACTCACTGCCAAAACCACCAAGGAGTTTATCAGGGAAAGAAGTGGAAGGTCTGGCCAAGTCAATCTCCAGACTACACCCTGTTGAGCATGCATTTTACCTGCTAACGAGAGACTGAAGGGAGAAACCCCCCGAAGCAAACAACAACTGAAAGAGACTCGGTGAAAGCCTGGAAGAGCATCAAAAAGAAGAATGCAAAGGTTTGGTGATGTCAAAGGGTCGCAGGCTTGATGCAGTTATGCAAGCAAAGGATTTGCAACTAAATATGAGGTTATTATTCACTTTTCACCACTCTTTTTAGTCTGTCGGTGTATCGTTAAAAACAATGCGTATCTTCTAGCAGTGGATCATCGCATCCGGCAGTGGCTCAGTCACGTATGGCTTGGGACTCGTGAGCTGGTAAGGTTGCGGTCAAGTCCCCGAACAGACTTACAGATATGCAGGTGTGGGCTGGGTACTTGGAGTGTACATTTGCCAGCCTTTGTTCTTGATAATTGTCGTCTTTTATTTTGTTATTTTGTTTATTTTTTATTATGTTTTCTCGATATCAGTTGATCTAGTCTTATGATAGTTAGCCTGTTCTTTGGTTGGGGATAGGTAAGAATGGAGAAACCACGTGGAGTGGCGCGTAGAGTTTGGAAATACACACCGAAAATCTGCATCTGCCTTCAGGACTTCCTTACAGAGCCGTCTCCAACACACACGAACGCTTGCATTTCATGATTCCTATTATGTATTTTGTGGCTCACGAGATTATCGTTTGACAGATGGATTGGGTCTGACATGGCTAGGTTATGGCCATTCCAGTTATTTTAGCGGGCCGGCAAATTGATTTGGTCGGCTTGTTTTCATGTATTTTTTCTACGGTCTTTACCACAGGATGACGTTGTTGTTTATGCTTTTATTGTTCAAAGCACCCCGTTTAAATATATTCAGTTGCTGTATCCCGGATGTGTAAGCATCCATGCAATAACAAAATAGTGTATTCAGGAACTAAATACGACGTGGATACCCGCACCTGTTAAGCAAGAGTACAGTCTTTGTAAAGCTTCTCTATAGTCTTTGATTACTAGCTTTACCATGTGGAATTGAAAGCTTGTGGGATGGGGAATTGAAACTGGTCGGTAGTTTGAAATTATGTATATTACCCTACTCAAGTCTTATTGCAAACACTTGATTTTAACCATTGGATGACCACTNATTTATCTCCACCTCCCCAAAAAAACCAAAATCTGACACGGTGTGAGATGTCTTTTTTAGATGTTCTGTCGTCATTTCCTGCGATCTTCTTCATGCAGTCAGTCAGAATGAATATTTATACGGGGCGTTTCTTTGACTATTTATAGGCAAATATGGGCGTTACGTTAAGCCCGCAAAATCTGCGCTGCATTTCGAGCTGATTGTGATTTATAAAGGGAAACCGGCGTAGGACGTGTGTGCGCAGTGTTTTATAAATCGGAATATTTGTGTGCATATTTATTTGCTTTGTCCTACGTACGCCACCTTCCCACGTGAATCCTACGCAAAGCTTTATAAATGAGGCCCCNACTGCACATGCACGTCAACCGGCTAGAGATCGCCCCGCAGATCTACGGCATGTCAGTATCTAGAGTTCAGATCGTTTGATACTTTGACCCTCAGATGGACACAAATACATTACCCTGTCTCTGTCTCTCTCTCTCTCTCTGTCTGTCTCTCTCTGTCTCTCTGTCTGTCTGTCTCTGTCTGTCTCTCTCTGTCTCTCTCTCTGTCTGTCTCTCCTGCAGCCGGTGGGTACGTCTGCTTTTCGGGCGGGAGTTCCCGCTGCAGGACCTGTTGGTGATGTGGGACGCTCTGTTTGCGGACAGCATCACCCTGGACCTGGTGGACTACATCTTTGTGGCCATGCTGCTCTACATCCGAGACGCTCGTACGCTGCGTTTATTACTGAAATAATCCAAGAACGCCATGTGTTGTCTTTGCGGCATGTGATTTCACAAGTAACACTTAACTGGAAGAATTTGATTTATTCCACCTCCTTTAATCAGATATTGCTTTGAATAGAATACTTGTAGATCTTTGCTGCCATACTTTATGGAAGATAAGGCCTAATGTCAGAAAACATCGTCTCTGCTTTAAGGAGGTTTATTGCTCTCATTTTCATAATCGTATTTTTTTTTTTCTATAACATTGACATGCTATAATGTGTCAAAAACATTATTTTAATATTACTATCGGTCTGAATATACCAGTATTTGTCCTTTGTTTAGCGCCTGTCTCTTTAAGACCCCTTTCGCAGAAAAAGCCTAGTTTGCTCTGAGAAATATGGCGCACTTCTGCAAAGTTAATCCTCATATTGTGGTTGAATATACTCAGATGGGCAGCATTTTCTCATTAACCAACATATGACATAAGAAGGGTTGCAAAAAAACTGATCTTTAAACATTAATAGGTTAGCTCTCGGTCAAAGAACGTCTTTATAATGTGTGTATTGTTTATTGTGTGTTTCAGTCATTGCTAGTAACTTCCAGACCTGCCTGGGCCTGCTGATGCACTACCCTCCTTTAGGAGACATCAACTCCCTGCTGCAGAAGGCTCTTTTCCTCCGAGATCCAAAGGTAAGCAACTAGCATAAGTAATTGCACTTTTCTTGCTGTATGTCTTTATTTTCTATCTAAGACAAACAGATATGTGGTTAAGTGCCATTCGTATAGTTTTGTTGTGTTATATTAAGATCTCTGATTAAGCCTGTCACAAGTTAATCATGCCTGTCAAGTTAAAAAGTGAGAAGTATTGAGTTCTCAAAGCAGCTGAGATACTTCTCTAAAAGGATTTGTTGTTTCTGCAGAGGTGGGGGAAGATTTGCAGAAGTGAAACACTAAACACACACACAAAACCTCAAACACCATGGAGTGTAAACCAAAAAAGTCTCAGTGTACTGTGAAAAAGTGTTCGGGTGTAACAAGGGAAGTTAAAATTAGCTGCTTTTTTAACACTGCGTCACACTTCAGTGGTTACAGATTAGTGATGAAGCACTTGTTGTAAATACTTAAAGCACAGGTGCAGGCAATGAACCAGTTAATGAGACAGGAAGTTAGATACTCTTCCTTTATACTGTGTTTAACACTTGAATAAAGATTTTTAAATCTTGTTCAAAATGTAGACACATTTACCTGTAAAATATAGTTTTTCTTACCTGTCATTTTCCCCACCTGTTTAATACATAAACACTTATCTTTAAAGGTGACCTATCATGCAAAATGCCCTTTTTAATGTCTTTTTATACATAAAGATGTGTCCCCGGTGTGTCAGGGAACTCACGCAGCGTCAGAAAATAAAACCCTCTCTCTTTTCCTCCATTCCCAAATCTCTAACAACGGGGCTACAACGGCGCTGATCCAGATTTGCGTCCGATATGACGTCATATCGGAAATGTAGACTGGCTTTACACCCATGGCTTTACACCCACGGCCCAATCAGAAACGTTGCTATCAGAAACAATGCCCGACTGTTTCGGACTTAATATGGTCGGTGTTTACATTCGCATCCGCTAACACTCAGAGCTAACCTGTACTGCACCAGAGGCATGTGTGTGAAGAAGCAGGAAATAAAAAAGGGAAACTCACCTTGAGGTCATAAACCGGCCAGAAAGAAAGCCTTTGAACTCCATACTGTTTCAGAAATAATCCTTGATAATCCATGATATGGCGTTTCATCACGGCAGTATCTGCCGGTAGAATCTCCCGCATGAGCTCAGCCCCCTCCTTTTATTTTTTTTATCAATTTTATTTTTGTTTAAGCTTTATACCCCAAATCAGCACTTTTGAAACAGGAAGTGAAATAGAGGGATATGAGGCATGGCTAGAATGGGTGATCTGTTTGGTATTTTGAGCAAAACACTTCATAGACATGTTTTTTATATATCTGAGACCTATGCTATTGCCTAAAAATAGCATGATACTGTAGGTGCACTTTAAGGAACTTGGTCTTAAAGGTGGGGTAGGTACGTTTGAGAAACTGGCTCGAGATACACTTTTTGTTATATTCCATGGAATGCTATTAACATCCTGATAGCAATGAATATCTGAAGTGCTTTGACAAAAAATCCATAAAAAAATGTCATCTGTGGAAGCCGTAGTGTAAAAAGCACGACCAATCATTTTAGCCGGCCCGGCTAAAATAACTGGATGGCCTACCTGCCTGTCAGCCTTCCATCTGTGCACAAACTTATCTCGTGCCCTCATTGGTCATGTGCGCGTTCGTGTGTGTTGGAGGAGGGGCTCTGTAAGGAAGTAGCAGATTTCTTCCGGCTGTGTATTTTCAGATTCTAGCGCACTCGAGCTGGTTTCTCCAAAATGACCTACCCCACCTTTAAGTGATTTTAAAAGGATAAAACATTAGTCATGTAATGGCCGTGAATAAGGTAACATTTCAAGCAAAGAAAAAGACCACGAGCTGCCGGATGTCCCCCCCAACACTGTGTCAACACTTTCTGGCCCCAAAGATATCTCTAGAAATAAAACGAGAACCGAGTGTTGGAGGGTTACATTGCCAATCTGAACTTGAAGACCTTCTGTTGCCTAATTAATGTAACTTCTCCCTATTGCAATGATATAATTATCATTTGTTAGACCGTTGTGACTGCAACAGATGGAAAGCGTGACTCTGTGTCGACACCTTAAGAATTTCTGTACCGGATGTAATAAATCCTGATTCCTCTTTTTTTTATTACCATATCTTACAGTCGTCAGCATTTCCTGTCATACACTTGTTTCAATGTTGCTCTAGTCACACACACCATATCAGACGCTTACATTCTTCCTTCTACCTTTTATATAAAAACTATCTGTTGATGTGAATGAATGAGAGCCCAGACATGAGTTCTCTTTTGACCTTAGCGAAAACCACAAACCATTTTCTGTTCTTCCTGCAAGTTCAATGACCCATACACTCAAACACAACAACTGTCCCGGGATGATAATCCAGGAAGTAGCTGATCCGACGTGACAGCGTTTCCCCCAGGTGAACGACCATGTCACAGCATGTCCCATCACAGTGACATCTGGGGGGGGGGGGGGGGCATCATCCATAATGACAGGCAGGTTAGGGGTTGAGATGGAAATGGGCTCGTTGCTCATCTGCAGTGACTAAGAAACGCACATGTATCTGCTTGTTTACGTAGTCATGCGTGTATATACTGTGTCAGAAATGCACATGTTTTAGGCTGACAGGTTTACTCTGCTTATCACGCACACCACGGATATTTTTAATGACTTTTTATTTTAAAAATGTTTGTATTTCCCTACTTTTACAGAACTATCCACGACCGGTTAATTACCAGTTCCAGCAGAACCTGGATTACTATAAAACAAGGGGAGCTGACCTGATGAACAAGACACGGTATAATCAACATGCACACACAAATGTTTATCGCTCCCAAGATTGAAAGTCAGTTTACCCTTTTTAAATTGTCCCATTTATCTGAAACAAATATTTGAAACCCTCATCCCCTTGTAGACTGTTTTTACAGCCAATTACAATATTGATTACTTTTCTTAACGGTGTAAAGAGCCATAACCGTAGCTTTAACCATCCATCAATGTGTTACAAACGGGTATATCTTTTTGCCAAAATGGCACACTTCTAATACTGGGTGTTTCTCGATGTTGAGGAATGCTCCTCCAGAGCCACTATTTCAAGGATGCTACGTGATCGAGTCCCGCCGAAGGACTGTTCCAATGTCCAGGATGCTTGGAATTCTACCGAGGCCAGCGTCCTTCGTGGCGGGAAATTTCAAGGCTGCACATGTGTATGCTCCGCGGTCTTAAAATCCCCACAATGCTTTGCGCACGGACCAATTTCCAAATCTTTGGCGGAAATCGCGCTCCATTTAAGGCGGGGCCTCGCATATGATGCACACCTGTTAGCCTGTTCCACAATTCTTCGTTTTCCGAGGCTTGGTAGGATTCTTGCCTCGCTTCTGAAGGACCTGACTCGGAGGGACATGTCCTACCAAGGAAGCGTCCTCAACATTGAGAAACACCCACTTTCTCTATAAGAGTTCTCATGCAGCTTTCTTTTTGTTTTTTTTGCATAATGAATAGACATATAAATCTGACAAGAAGACGAGGCCATTAATTAAAGCCTCATTAATGGCCTCTGCTCGCCATTTTGTAACTATACAACTTCACCGAAAAGCATAAAGGAGTTACATCGTTCACTGTGAGAGAAACTAATCACACAAGTTTCAAGTCTCGGAAAGTGAGGCTTTATTTATGAACACAAAATCACAACAAATCCTGTATGGAATAAATCTGAATATTAAAAGTGTGGCAGTAAGAAGTATCAACCATCTAATAAAAGTCTGAAACATGGAAACCCACTGCTAATTTCCCCTTCTCTAGGCTATTGTTTTCCTTATTAACCTTAACATACATCAATCAATCAATCTATGTTTATTTTAATTTAAATTTATTTTGTATTATATATCTTCTTCTCCCAGCTCTGGCTCCAAACCTGCGCCCCTGAACATCAACAAGGTGTCCAGCAGCCTGCTGAGCTTCGGCAGGAAGCTCATCGCTCCGGCCATATCCAGCAGCTCCAGCGGCATCTCGCCTATCAACACTGAGGTTCACTCCTCCTCCTCCTCCATGTCAACCTCCCCCGCCTTGGGGTCAGCGCCCGCCCTGCCTCACCCGCTGGCCGACCCCCCTTCAGGCCACGCCCCCCCGCAGACCCCGAGCCGCGTCCAGAACCAGCACTACCGTCTGCTCAAGTCCGAGAGCATGCCGGTGCACCTCAGCAAAGGTGAGCAGCGTGACATTTGCCTTTTGCGGTTACAATGTAACTGCATGTACGTGTATGTGTGTGTGTGTGTGTGTGTGTGTGTGTGTGTGTGTGTGTGTGTGTGTGTGTGTGTGTGTGTGTGTGTGTGTGTGTGTGTGTGTGTGTGTGTGTGTGTGTGTGTGTGTGTGTGTGTGTGTGTGTGTGTGTGTGTGTCAGCATCAGCATCAGCTTTGACTCTCCTGTCTTTTAGATGTAGTTTCAGGGGAAGTGTCTCAGGTTGCTTTTCCAGCCCAGACTCACACTGACACACAAGGTAACATGTCTGCACACAAAGTTTTCATTCACCTTTCCTGCTGCTGTATTAGCAGCTAGTCAGGACAGTGACGGCCCGTCCACACAGCAGCTTAAAAAAAATCTTCCAACGCTTCTCTGCCCATTCACTTTGAATGGGGTGACGTCACTTTGCCTCGCTTTTCGCCGAACTGCATTGTGGGGAAGCAAAGCGAAGATTTCCAGGATTTTCAGGATTCAAAAGTTGAGCAATGTTCAACTTTTGAAGCTGAGCTGGAAGCGTCAGCCAATCAAATCCCGTTTATGCAAATCTGATAGTACAAGCGCTAGCCAATCAAACCGCGTGTAAGCTGGGAGAGACATACCGCAGTTCATTTCCTCATATTCCAAACGAGAAATTACGGTAGCAAATCACCCGGTTCTTTACGACCAGACTATTTACCGGGATACAAACCGGAGGAACCAGGCATGGAGGGAGGTGGCAGAGACAGTGGGTGAAACTGGTAGGTTTTCGCCTGTTTGGGGATTTTATATCCAGTTTACTTAGTTTTAACATTGCTATTGCTTTGTATGTCGGGGGCGGGAGATTCATGTGATTGGTTGTTGCTCGCGTTGCTCGCAAAAAATCCCCAAGCTTTCAGAGCTGCTGTGTGGACGCAAGTGGACTTTAGAACATGTCATGGTACACTTTGACCAGCAGAGGGAGATCACAGCTATCCAGATTAGTGGAAATGGAAATGATAACATAAACATCCTGGAGGAATTATGGCATCTGCTCCCAGCATTGCTTTGACCATACAATATGCTGGAGTCTGTGTGTGTTACACAGTTTTTGTGAATGTTGTTGTTATAGTGTGGCATGTGTTTGCAAGTGTTTTCTTTGCCTTTTTATAAAGAAAAATTAAATGACACGTGGTTTCCTCTTCAACCATTGAGCCTTTAAATAACTTTAGATTATACTCAAATAATACATGTTTAAAAACTGATAATTTAATTATCAATTGATAAACATTGGAAATTAAGTTAAAAAAAGTTGGATTAATTTAGCATTTACATTTTCAGTTATTTATACATAATACAAAAAACACATGTAATTCATCTATTTGTTTTTGATTTTTTTTATCATATAACTTTTGGATTTTAGGTTTTATAATCATTCCAATTGTTGCACGCTGGAGGATGCATATCCTGGTCGTACCCTACACTCCTTAATGAAATGGAATGGCTTGTATAATATAAAATATCTAAATTATTTATTTAGAAATGTAAACATTAAAAGCACTGATTGTCCTAAACAGCAGCATTATGTGACAACAAATCTTAATGCAAGTTCCAAATACTTTTGTCCCACTTTTTCACAAATGGTCATAATGCTAAATTATTTTATGACACATATGGCCGAAGTCAAGAATGAACAGCCATTGTTCAAGCTGTAGAACACTGTTAAAACATTTAGGTTCTGAGATCATATCTTTGTATTTGTGATTGAAAATGATGCGCATTTGTTTTTGTGTTAATACTAATCTCCTGTCCTCCCTCGTTGTGTCCCCCCTGCAGGCCAGAGCTCCAGGACGGTCAGCTCCTCTCCCAGCATAGAGAGCCTCTCTGCTGGGCGCGCTCAGTTCACCGCCTCCCCGCCTCCCCCCCACTCCGTCGGGAGTGATGTAAGCACTTCATCTCCTCCCCTCTCCGACACAAAGAAAGACTCTTTCTTCAACATCACTCGTTCTCGCTCCCACAGCAAGAGCATGGGCAAGAAAGAGTCGGTGAGATGTTCTTCCTGCTGTCTTTCTCTTATCGTTAACGTCTTTGTTTTTCTCTGACAGACTGTCTCCATGTCTCTGTCTCCGTCATATTATTGTTCGTCTCTCTACAGATACAACCCTAATCCCTCCTCTGTGTGTGTGTGTGTGTGTGTGTGTGTGTGTGTGTGTGTGTGTGTGTGTGTGTGTGTGTGTGTGTGTGTGTGTGTGTGTGTGTGTGTGTGTGTGTGTGTGTGTGTAACAGGAGGAGGACCTGGAAGCTCAGGTGTCGTTCCTGCAGGGCCAGATCAATGACCTGGAGGCAATGAGCAAATACTGCGCCAAGATGATGAACTCTCACATCTGTGAGTACAGAAACTCGACACCAGCAACAGACGAATCTCCATGTTTATTTATAGGGTCTAAAACATAGTCGGTTCAACACACTGTCTTAAACGCTGTTAGTTATTTTATAGTTTGAAATACATCACGTGTTAGTGTCCTAAACAAGTAAATCCAACATTTAATTTGGATGTATTTAAGTTGATGAACATTTTCATGCTGACAGCAGTTCATCAACTTAAACAAAAATATTCCTTTTATGTTTTGTTATTTGACTACATTTAAAAAAAAAATGTGTCTTTATCATGGATACTTTTGCAATGTATTCGTCTGATTACATTTAGATATTAGTACCTATGGTATGAACTCTTTTTTTTCCCCCCTTGAAATGCAGCAATCCAATCGGCAACATCTATGTAACGTTTAATTTAGGATATAGTGCACTAAATTATTTTTTAGGGAAGGTTTTGAAATAAATGTTTTCCAATTTATTGTTTGTATTTTGTAGCTGGTTATATAGCTTAGTGGTGCTTATTACTACTCCACAGGTAAAATCCAGGAAGTGATTCTCCAAGAGCATCTGGAGAAGGAGGACGAGGTTCTAGTTTCACTGGCTGGACTCAAACAGGTCAGTGAGCAAACCCACAGTAATGCCTGTGATATGTTTTGGAATACATACTCTAGTCTACATGTTCATTGGTTTCTGTAACATTGGCACGTTGCTCGCATCCCATCAGATCAAAGACATCCTGAAGGGGTCGCTGCGCTTCAACCAGAGCCTGCTGGAGGCCGAGGAGAACGAGGAGATCGCCATCGCTGACGATCACTACACCTCCACCGCGGCCGCCGCTGAGACGGCTCTGAACGCCAGCAATCAACTCAGAGAGGAAGAACAAGCAAACAGCGGGCAGCGCCGGGACTCTGACCTGGACGGGAGCGTGAGCACGGAGGAGAAGGAGGAGGAGGAGGAGGAGCAGCAGCAGCAGCAGCAGCAGCAGCAGCAGCAGCAGGAGCAGCAGCAGCAGCAGGAGCAGGAGCAGGAGCAGGAGCAGGCCATCACCCCCCCTGAGCAACAGGTTAAATGACCATCAGTCCTCTTTTACACTACTGGAATAAGAGCTATGCACTGTCGGCACTTGTATCAATATAAACTACCACGCTCGGTTCAGACAGGATTAGTTTTCAGTCATTGTTTGAACCGTTCAACCTTCTGACCCAGTGTTCAGTGACTTTAAATCTGATCATTTGATGCCAAGAAATTCTACCCTCTGTGCAAAAATGATCCAATGTTTGTACCAGAATTTTTTTTCTGCTTAAGCTCTCCCATTTGGAATAAATCAAACCCAGCAATGTGCTGGTTTTTACAGCAACTGTATAATGAAAATACTAAGTCACATGTTCCCTGGAGTCTGAGGTTTGTCGCATTTGAATTCATTTAGCTTTAGGGCCAAACAAGCAGCAGATTATGGTTATACAGCCTGGGTTTGTGTACACATCTTCTACTTCCTCTTAGTGCACTAGATTAAACAGGGTACATACTGTAATAGCACTGCACAATATACCTTGTATTAACGTCATTGCAATTGCATTACATTGCCAAAGCCCACACTATTGCACTTTGAATATAGTAACAACATATTATATTACATTCTGTCTGTAGTCACTGTTTTTGTATGATAAGCGCCATGCTGTTAACTCTGGCCAATCAGACATAGCCCTCGTCTTTATTCATCATCTGATTGGTCAGAATCTAAAGTTGATTAGACCATTACTAGCATATCACTCTGTATGGTTAAAGGAGGAAAGTGTAACAAGATGAGTGCAGAGATATAAGAGGAACTAAATGTGTTTATTTATTGCAAGTAATATCATGATTTTCAACAAAGTTATCAAATATGATTTTCTTTAGACCTAGTAAATCATTACAATAGGAGGACTACATTTTTGCCAAAACAGAACAAAGACACAGACCTTGCCATCTCTCGTGTGCAGGCGGGGTCTTCCCTGGGCTCCGAGGGTAAGAACTGGGACGACTACATCCTGGTGTGTCAGGACGGAGACCTGGCAGCCGGCGAGGGAGGAGGAGGACGAGGGGGGGCTGCAGCCGAACGCACCCCTCCAATCAGGCGGGGGCGCGGCCTGGTGCGCCTGGAGCCGGAGGGGGCCGCGGGGGTCCTCCAGGACCCGCTGACGGCCGGCACCTCGGGCTCTTCCAGCCCAGACGAGGGCTCCACCCACAGCAAGGACTCTGACTTCACCATCGTCAACCCCAACGACCTGTGAACCAAAGACAAACTGACTTGGGATCAGAGGGTGGAGCTGCTATGGGCTGAAGAATTGCACATGTGGACTGTGACGCTTCCAGTCACCATTACGTTATTCTCTGTCTCTTTCTGCCACTTCCTGTCTGAGCTCATGCTGTATGCCATCTCAATTACCGAATGCCTGTCTCCTCATCATGTCCCCTCACTTCTGATATTTAACTGTAGCCCCCTGCTCTACACAGAGAGGGCGCCATTGAACTGCTTACCCTGTCACTACATGATTACTCTAAAGACTTGGATCAAACTGCAATTTGTATACAGGGCGGTCTCTCTCTTACTGTAAGAATTGCTCTGCTTCTCCTGAATGTGGACATCTGGCCATACCTCTGCTTGTTATGTCTGTTCGTCTCTGCTCTTTCAGAGGGAGCTCTCTTCTTTGAAATGAAAGAAGGATGACATCCTCCTGCCAGTTATCAGCTTCCCCCCCTGAACCAGTGCCTCTGACCGTTCTTCTTCTCTCAACCAAACAAAACCTGACTGTGATCTTACTGTTTTTGTTGGCTTCTTTTTTTGTTTTTTTTTAAGAAAGATTTTTAACCCTTAGTTTAGGTTCCTGGATGAAAACCATTAAAGTATGGAGTATGTCTTATTTTCCTTTTTTCTTTTTTCTTGATTCCAACGTGGACATTTTAATCTTTTTATCGATGGTTTTCATTTTGTTCACATTACAACTGAGTTGTTTTGGTGTCCTGTGGTAATGTGTAACGCAGCGCACACAAAGATTGTCCCTCTAGCTGCCCATTCAGCATAATTAACTCAAAACCAATAAAACGACATCGCTCTTGCTACACACTGATGTTACCGTGCCTGTTTGGGAATGCTTAAAAGTGGATGGTGCAGACTTCTCTCTTAACCTTAAAAACAGGATTTGATCAAACTAACTTTGAACACACTCCAATACGTTTCTACTCTAAGGTTTTCATCATATCACATAGTCTTCATCAGCCCATGATGTTAACCTTGTTTTCACGGAATAACAGGTTGCTATTTTTATGCCAACATGGTCAAAAATAATGCCTTTTCTAATGCTAATGTTGCTCTTCAGCACACATGGCAATGGCGCTTGAGGAAAAAGTCAATGGTTGTTGTAAATGTTATTGAAATTAGTCCTATATTTTGGAGACTTTCCCTCGAAACCATGAATGTAAACCATGTGGAGTTGCTAGAGTAAATGTATGATTCCTCCTCTGGGGAACAGACAAAATGTCATTACAATCCCTCCAAAACTTATCTAGATATATCTGTCTGGAGTGGACAAAAAGTGGACCAAAATATAATAAGTTAAATGTCTACACTTTCATGACAGCTCCAATATTGATTAATATCATGTGATATGATTGAATGCTCCAGAACAGCTACAAAATGAATGTTATGCTCAGATTGTTCGAAAAGTTGAATGAATTATTACATCATTTATGCGACTAATCATCCTCTACCCCAGTGAGCATTGAAGCTACACATGGAAGCTGGTTAGGCTTTTAGCAACTGCACATGTCAGTTTCACATATACTGTTTCCAGCTGTCATCTCTGCCTACTATGAGTGAAGGCACATCAAAGGAAAAACAGTGACAGACACATGAGCATCAGTCATTTAAAAACTAGTTTATTTCCATCTTCTGTGAAGGAAGGCAACCATGAACTGAAACCTTCTGCCAGCCTCATCTAATGCACCCATAACTGGAATGTTCTCATTCAGGAACAATAACTTATGTAAAATATTCTTTACAGCAAAAGGATTGAAATTACATAGTAAAATACTGTACAGTGTTTTGCACACAACATAAGCACTTTGAACATAACAGCATTTGCTCCCTAGAGGCAGACACCTACACGTCTGTTGATCATTATGGTAGGTAACAGTGGTTTGTTTAGCACAAGGAAAATACAAAAATATAAAATACTGAATGCGAGACAACAATATTTTGAGAGTTAAAGGGAGGATTTCATGGCAACAAAAAGGACCTCAAGGTGATTGGACGAGGACCCACACATGTTTAATGGAAATTAGATGGAGGATGTAATAAAGGGGCTGCGCTGGTCCTTGAGATTTAACGTGAACATATCTAAAACATCCACAGACTCCTGCTTACTCCCACTTTTATAATCAGTGTTTCAGTTCAACCTTACCTCATCTTGATTTGAATCCTTGCTATGAATTGCTAGCTTTGTTGAAGCACAATGACATTTGTCTTCCTCTCTCTTCAAGACACATTGCACATTTAAAACATTGATAGACATGTGTGTATTTACAGGTTTATGCAGAACAAACAACTTAACCTTGGCTTCAAATCTAACTACATTCATCTCCCCAGTGTCACTTCTCTCCCGTCTCTTCAGAAATGCCACGGATTGTTTTTCTGCGACAGGTGGGTGGACAGCGTCTGCATTTTGAAGACTTCTTTACATTCATCTGTTCTTCTCTTTTCAAAAACAGTACTTGCTATTGCTCTCACATGGCATTTGTGAACGTCTGACACTTAGACCTTGGAAAAACTTTTAACAACACGCAAAGGGTTTGTCACAGCAGCTACAATGGCAAATTGGTCACGTCCTCTTTTATTTGCTCGCTATGCCGAGGGTCCTCCAGCTCTGGTGGTGGGTTACTCATCCTGGCCTCGTCGAGTTTGGGAGCGGACTCTTTTCACTCCGATGCTCTCCTTGGTGAGGTTTCCCGTCAACGCAGCATCGTGGACCTGCTTCATGTTCTCCTGGACTTCAGCTTTGGCGTGTTTCAGCAAGTCAGCCTGACCCTGAGAAAGAAGACATGAGGAAATGGTGAGAGAATAATGAGTGGAGGGTAGTAAGGAGAGATGGGTAATGAAGAGTAGGAATGGAGGCAGGGATGCCAACTAGCTACAGGACAAAACAAGTTTTAATGATCTACCAGGGGTATTCAACTCAAATTCAACAAGGTCCAGTTAGAGAAAATTTCCCCATGCAAAGGTCCGGAACATCAAAATGTCTAAGTTGCTTTATGAATTAATGTGATATATATTGAAGTGACCTGTAGCTTTATCAACGTCTGCATGTCATCAACAACTGACTGCCAATCAATCAAATAAAGCACAATTCAAAAACAACAATATTTATTGTCAATTAACATTGAACTATACAGATGTGTAATGTTCCTTTAGGGCTGCATTTAAAAATAAAAGAGAAAATAAATAAAATAGCTTTTGAAAATATCTGTATCTTAAAAGTGCTTAATTTTAGATGAATAAAATAAAGTGTAGCAGCAGCTTAAGTTTCCCTTTTTCTTTGTTAACCGTTTCATATCATGACCTAACGGTTTCAGCCGATTAGAACAATATCAGTCTTTACACATCATACAGTGATGCAAATTAGTCGCTTTTCGGCGCCTCCCGCTTTTTTAACGCTGCTTTGGGTGACTTGTGTAATTCGTGGAGAA